GCCAACACGACAATACCGCTTAGGTTCTATCGATGAAGTGCAAACCACCGCTCTTCAATCATTTCGACACCATCAAGCTCCAATTATGAATATTTCTGCTCAAGAATACACACAAAATATCGCTAAATCCACATCCAAATCGACCACTACCACAAAAGTTACCACATCATTCGACCTCGCACCAGTCAGCACAGGCTCCCCAGACATCACCGATCTCGTCACGCTCATGCGCTCGCCATCCACAGACATCGCAGCATCACCAGAACGCGAGCAAGAAACACGGACAAGACAGCAAGACGTCGACTCGCATCATCCCACGACAACAACGCCCTGGGGCAGCATAACAGAGGGGCGCCACTATGTAAACCCCCCTCTCCCCTGGGACTCACCCCAACAAGCCCAGCATATCCCAGCAGCCAACACAAATCCCACCACGCAACTACTGAACGGAACAACAACCCAACAACCCCCGCCTCTCAACCCCCCGGCCCCAAATTTCTCAGCCAACACAACTTTCCCATCCACAGCCCGGCCCATCCCCACCGGCCTCCCCCACAACCCCTGGTTGCCGCGCTCCCCACCCACACCCCTCGCCACGTCCGAGAACCGGGTAAGCGGACGCCGGGCCTGTGCACGCGTGAATTGCACGACGACGGCGAATATCGCGGTGCAGGGGACGGCTGCGGAGCGGCAGAATGGCGGGTGGTTGTGTTCGCGGCATGAGGGGGAGTTGGGGATGAAGGTGGCGGGTATGTATTTGGATTGGTATGATAGTCCGTGGCGGATTGGGAGGAGGTGAGCTGGGTGGGTGGACGGGTGGATGGGTAGGTAGATGGATAGGTGAATAGACAAGCGTGGTACAAAGTCCATGGAAGCAAAAACTCATCATTATCTCAACATCCAAGATCCAATATGCCGCCTCCAAATCCAAGCACCCGCCCCAACACCCAAATAAAGCCACCCCCTCAACTCCAAGCCAACCCCAACCGTATTCCAGCCACCCCACAGCCCACCCCAAAGAAAGACCAAACCA